CAAATTTACATTTTCTTATCTGATTGGTTAATTTGTTCTTGATGGTTTTGTATCGTTCCTTCAGTTGGTGGTTTTCTGGGTTCTTCTTTAAATTCTTGAATAGCTGATTTTTTGTATTGATAGATCTCACCAGACCTGTTGTTGCCCATGGGGCAATGTTATTATTTTTACGTTTCAGTTTGACCGAAGACGTGCAGTCATATATCGCCTTTGAAAGAATATCAACGAATCTGTTCATGGCAATATTTGGGTCAGCAATAAAGTATACTGAATCAAAGTAATCAGAAGAGATTATAGATTTTAATTTGACGTGATCAATCACTTTCTTAGTTTTATATTCAGTATTTCGTTCCATATAACTATTATGCATTATTTGAATTGCCGTCATGTAATGATCTGTTATGTTGGTTTTTATTATAAGTGGCATAATTAGTTCTGTAATATTAGGTATCTTAGATTTGATGAAAATATGATCTATGCAAGTTTTCACGTGACCTTGAACTCTGGTGGGGTTGTTAATTGTAGACATGTAGCCAAATTCATTCATAGTATTCATATATTCATCGCTAATCTCAGTATCTCTAGAAATATCGATGTTCATGTCTCCAACGACGATATGTATTAATTCGTTTCTATTATCATAGTTCTGGAGATATTCGTGTAGACCTTCATTGAAGTCATGAGGTTCTGTAGAAGGTGATCTATAAATTCCGTGAATCACTATTTTACTATTTTCGTTTACGTCAACTATTAGTTGAATCACTTTTTGATTCTTCAGCGTATTTATTCTGTGAGTGTACTTGTAGTTAGATCTGATATATATCACAACACCATCATTTTGATTATAATTACTCTCGTTGTAGATGAGATCATATCCAGGTATGTTGTAAATGTCCGTACTTGGAATTATTCAAGTCTCAGTTAGTACTATACAATCAACGTCTGAATCGATATTATTCAAGAAAACTTTGAGCTCATCCACATTCTTATTTAGACTACGAATATTATTATGTAAGATTTTTAAACTACGATTATTTTTGTTAACATCAAAAATATCATTCAACTGTTGGTAATTTTCTAGAGTGAAAGTTTCAATATTTTCTATCAAGAAGTCACGTATACAGAATACGCGATGATGAGTTCTCCTCAAGTAAAATTATCCGGAAGTAAAATACCTCTCCATTCGGATTTCCGGGCGAGAGGTGCTAGAGGGGGTTCACCATCGGCTGAAAAAGTCCTCAAGATAGACCTATGTAACATCCGAGGTCTAAGTAAGAACATCAACGATGTCCATCGACACCTTCAAATTGAAAAGCCAGACATATTGGCTCTCACTGAGACACAGGTCAATTCATCCACCAATACGACCTATCTGCTCTGTCCTGGGTACGAACTCCACACACGTTTCAGATTCAAGGGAGGTCTCTGCCTCTACTCTAAAACGAATCTCTCATGTCAACGAGAAAAAACTTTGGAACCAAATAAGTTTGATGTCATGTGGTTCAAACTCGATAGCCAGAAACAGACCAAATACCTTTGTTGTCTCTACTTATCACCAAATGATCCATCCTATGAAGAGCTCTTCGAATTCTTGTCTCTGAAGCTAGACCAAATTCAGCAGAACCATCCAGCAGCAGAAATCATCATCATGGGCGATTTCAATGTACACAACACTGCATGGCTCGTTCACTCTAATAGAACGGATGAAGCCGGGAGACAAGCCGAAGCTTTCGCCATCACTCACGGCTTAGAGCAGCTTATCAAAGAACCCACACGAATTCCCGATGCCAATAACCATTCAGCCAACATACTTGACTTATTCCTCACTAATAATTCAGCACCCTACACCATAGATGTACGAGCTCCACTTGGCAATTCTGACCACACACTCATCTCCACAACCTGCCCATTTTTCATTCCATCAACTGCTCCGGCACCCCCACGTCTCATATGGCATTACAATTCAGGAGATTGGGACGGTCTCCGCATGTTTTTCTCCGAGTTCCTTGGCATAGAGTATGCTTTGACTCTGAGGACCCTTCACAGTGTGCTGCGGAAATATCCGAGATCATCATGTTCGGAATGGACACATACATACCTCATTTTTCGAAAAGATCATCACCTTCGAAACCCTGGTTCAACAAAAACTGTTCTAGAACTGTTGCCTTGAAACAAACAGCCTACCATCGCTGGCGCAAAAACCCTAACCTCGCGACTAGAGCAGAATACGTTGATGCCAGGAATAACTGCAGCCAAACAATAGATGCCTCGAAAGAAACATACAATGCCAAGATAAGATCGAAACTCATAGATTGCCCCAATGGCTCCCGTTCGTTTTGGTCCCTTGCTAAAGCGGTCGGAAGGAATTTCACTAATAGTTCATTTCCACCACTGTCCAAATCCGACGGCACTCTAGCAACAACATCGCAGGAGAAAGCAAATATTTTTGCAGAGATGTTCGCAGCAAACTCTACTTTAGATTCCCAAGGAAAACTGCCGCCAGACATTCCACCCGTTGAGAGTCGAATGCCCGAAATCGTCTTCCGTCAACGCACTATCAGACGCATTTTGCTTGGTCTCAAAACGAATAAGGCTAACGGTCCTGATGGAATTCCACCCATTATCCTCAACAAATGTGCACCAGAATTAACACCGATTCTCTGCAAGTTGTTTACCATCTCGTACAGGTCGGGTATTTTTCCATCGTGCTGGAAGACAGCTAGAGTCCAACCAATCCCCAAAAAAGGGAACAAGAACCTGCCCAACAACTACAGGCCCATTGCCCTGTTATCAGTAATCTCCAAAGTGATGGAGAAAGCCATCAATATTGAGCTCATCAAATATCTGGAGAGCTCAGGAATCATCAATGATAGACAATACGGCTTTCGCCACCGAAGATCTACTGGAGATCTACTTGCCTACGTCACCCATTTATGGCAATCTTCAATAGAAAAACACGGGGAATCTCTAGCTGTCGCGTTGGACATATCGAAAGCATTCGACCGTGTTTGGCACGAAGGACTCCTCCACAAACTACCATCTTACGGCTTACCACCTCAGCTATGCCATCTCTTATCGAGTTTTCTTTCAGGCAGATCGCTTCACGTGGTGGTGGACGGTGTATCGTCTGATACCATTGGCATCAATTCCGGCGTTCCACAAGGATCAATTTTGGCACCAACATTATTCCTGCTTCATATCAATGATCTGTTGGGAGTAACAACTTGCCCCATCCACAGCTTTGCAGATGATAGTACCCTCCATACTGCGTTCTCCTCCAGAATTCCCATTTCTTCCCAGGAAACTAAGAACTCACGGCGCAGGCAGGTCAATGCTGTCAATGAAGATCTTGCAGAAATCTTAGCCTGGGGAACAAACAACCTAGTTGAATTCAACGCCACCAAAACTCAAGCCTGCATTTTCTCTAGGAAGGCGGAACTCAGTATGCCCGATATTGTAATGTCTGGCTCCACCATCCCCACCAAGCCCACCATATCTATGCTTGGTATTTCCATCAGCAACACTCTTTCATGGGATAATCATGTCAGATCCATCGCAAAAGCTGCTTCACAAAAACTCGGATTCTTGTTCCGTGCGAAAAGCTACTTTACACCTCAACAGCTTCTCATGATCTACAAAGCGCAGATACGGCCTGTTCTAGAATACTGTTCCCACATATGGGGTTCAGCACCAAAACATACGCTGATGCTCCTAGATTAAATCCAGAGAAGAGCCATTCGCATGGTGGGTGACGCCACACTCACTCACTCTTTGACATCATTGGAACACCGTAGAAAGGTCGGCGACCTTTCACTTTTCTATCGATACTTCCACGGGAAATGTTCTTCGGAAATCTCTGCTATCATCCCTTCACTAGCAATACCAATCAGACGAACTAGACAAGCCCAGTCAGCACATCCTTTCGTTGTCAACCTCGAAAGATGTCGAACAGCACTTTATCAAGACTCCTTTATCCATAGAACGGCTAGGCTCTGGAATTCATTGCCTGTGGAAGTATTTCCAACAACATATAATCTCCAAAAGTTCAAAAAAAATTCCAATACCTACCTCCTGTCCCTATCCTCCCTAGGAACGCACGGTGTTTTTTGAACATTATAGGGATTCCCTTTCGTGCGCTCCAAGCGATAAAAAAAAAAAAAAAAAAAAAATGTATGGATCCATGAGTAGCCAATATTTCTTTGTTTATTTGAAGAAAAGATGTAAGAATATCGAATTTATGATATACAATATGATATACAGATAGAAAATACAGATAACGATAGAGTTTGAACAATACAATATAAATTGTATATGGATAAAGTGCATAGACTACATTGTATGCAGCTTGCTGTAGCTGTAGTTGTCAAACTTGTCAATGACATAAAGTGTTGGCACTGTTGTAGTGATGATGGTTGAATTGTTTAATTTTTTCACATTATTGAATTCTTATCAGTTTAGTGAACAGTGAACGGGTGGAGAATTGGAGGTAGTTCAAACAATTCAAACTAATTATGAGGAGCAAATCAAAAAAGGACTGCTCAGTGCAATATTTATATTTCGGAAAGTGTGTCTATGCATTTTTTTTTCAAAAGATCCAAAGCAAATTTGATGAATTTTATACTGATCTGAATTGTTTAGAACCCAGTTATATTTTTGTGAGAGTTGAACAGTTCATTAACTCATTGAATGTTTTTTTACATCTCATGTATTATTTTTGTTTCATATAGGTATTTCATCAGTAATCATCTTCAGAATGAACAGTTTTGTTATTAATCGATTAAGAATTTGTATGAAATTTGAAGCAAATTGAATATACCTACCAAACTATTGTATGAAGTCACAACTTTGTGACTTTCATTATTAGATTTTCAATAACTGATACCCTGAAAATAAACCAATAGAAATACAAAATCATTCCATTGACAAAAAATATACATCTAGTCCCTGATTACTAAAATCAAAAAGATTTTTCACCACAGACGAACACATTACTATAGTACTCACCAATTGACATATAGAAGATCAGCTACAACATGTTCACAATACCCAGATTGTCCTGCATTGCAGGAACAAATACAAATCCATTGTTCTACTGAAGTTCCTCTGGACCCCAACTTCAATTTTACCTCATGTGGGGAAGATTTCATCGCCGGAGTTTGTAGACAAAGTGCAAAAATGTGCCTCTTGTTGAAGTCTTCTGCCTCACAGAAAATCACATGATTAGCACGGAGAACTGCTACTGGTCGACTTTTTACATCTAAATAGAGCAAAATATCTGTTAAAAGATCTACAACCAGCATTATTAGCGTTTTCGATCGAATATTGACAATTTGTCAAGAAATTTAACAACTTATCACTCTTATCAGTACACAGTACACAAGCTGATGGTACTTATGGGATTGAATGAGGATTGAATTCGTTTTTCGCCAGTTTTGACGTGGCTTTGACATTGAACGATGAAAACCGAGCGCCACCTGGAAACATTGATTCCTGCGAATAAGGTTGTCAAGTCAGCAATTATAATCAATTTATTGAAAAATTGTTGTTGCTGTCGTTGAATTAAACTCTAACCGAATCGAACATTTCATTCGACCTATTCTAGGAGGAAGCCATCTTATATTCGTGACTTCCTTGAGTAACCAGCTTGTTAGGATATTTCTTATACTCAAACAACAACAGAACAACATGTGCACTGGGAGAAACTGGATATTAAAAATATCTACCAGCTCTGATTGTAATAACCATTATAAGGAAATCTCCTATTCCTGATCATTTTATTAATACAACAGTATTCTCTCCATTCTGTGATTATAAAAATCGATTTCTTAAATCATTTGTAATACCCTTGAATGGACATTTGCTACCATCATAACGCAGGTGTGTTGACATGAGAATTTTATAAATTCCAGTCTATTTAGATTTTTTATTGGCATAGCTCGTTTTGTGAATTATGCTCATTGGTGAATTCAGATAATGTTTGTCCCAATAATCATAGCTGTTTGGGTTTCTAGCATTGTACGTTGACGAATAACTCTAGCAATTCACATGTATGACGGTTATTAGGCAATCATTCGAAAGATGTCGAACAGCACTTTATCAAAACTCCTTCATCCATAGAACGGCTAGGCTCTGGAATTCATTGCCTGAGGAAGTATTCCCAACAACATATAACCTACAGAAGTTCACAAAAAATTCCAATATATACCTCCTATCCCTATCCTCCCTAGGAACGCACGATGTTCTCTGAACATTATAGGGATTCCCTTTCGTGCGCTACAAGCGATAAAAAAAAAAAAATCGTAATTCGGCTTATTTCGCTCTAGTGTTTCATTAGTATTGGAGCTGACAAAGATACAGATCGCGTTCATTTCACTGCTGCTCTCGGTCATGGGTGCTCGTGTTCAATTATTGTTCAATGGTTTCGATCATCCGAATCGATAAAGCCGTGTCTTGTAGGTGAATGTCTGTGATGTAGCAAAGTTTCGTTTTAGTGCTGGCTGTGAACCGATCTGTGGAATATACCGTGCATTGCATTATTGCAATGGAAAAAGTTTTTTTTTTTTTTTTATCGATTGGAGCGCACGAAAGGGAATCCCTATAATGTTCAAAGAACATCGTGCGTTCCTAGGGAGGATAGGGACAGGAGGTAGGTATTGGAATTCTTTTTGAATTTTTGGAGATTATATGTTGTTGGGAATACTTCCACAGGCAATGAATTCCAGAGCCTAGCCGTTCTATGGATGAAGGAGTCTTGGTAAAGTGCTGTTCGACATCTTTCGTTGACAACGAAAGGATGTGCTGACTGGGCTTGTCTAGTTCGTCTGATTGGTATTGCTAGTGAAGGGATGATTGCAGAGATTTCCGAAGAACATTTCCCGTGGAAGTATCGATAGAAAAGTGAAAGGTCGCCGACCTTTCTACGGTGTTTCAATGATGTCAAAGAGTGAGTGAGTGTAGCGTCACCAACCAGGCGAATGGCTCTTCTCTGGATGGAATCTAAGAGCATCAGCGTATGTTTTGGTGCTGAACCCCATATGTGGGAACAGTATTCTAGAACAGGCCGTATCTGCGCTTTGTAGATCATACCCACTTTTCACGGCCTAAAATTGGTTTATTTCGAAAACAAAATGACCGATGAGATTCTGAATCAAAATATCTGGGTTTCTGTGAGGGAAGTTTTATTGACAATTCTCATCATAACTCCGAAGGAAGGGTAAATAAATATAAGTATTCAACTTCTCATTTCTTAATAAATTCGTCAGTAATGCATATAGATGATATTTCTCCGAAAAATTCAATGAGTAATGTCAAAAAACTTCCACAGATACCCAAATATTTCAATTCAGAGACTAAACGTATTTTTTTGTTTTTTTGAAGAGAATAACTTTGGATCATGAAAAGTGATAGTGTGGATAGGATATTTATTTTCATTGCAGTAATTCAAAGCACGGTTCCATAATGCATACCATCGAATAATGTTCATTAAATTACCTTATTACCACTGTTTGATGAATATACTAGAGTAGAAAAATATTGGGATAACTGTTGAAAATGAGCTATATTACAATATCATGTCAAAATGTCAGGTTTCATGCAGATATCAGATGACTATAATAAAATGAGACGTATTACTGCGTTACCTCAAGATGGTTGTGCCAGTAATAAAATCATGCTGTTTCATGTCGATTGTCTATAATAACCACTGTAGAGTGGAGAGTTACTGCAACATTTTATGGGAATAATTCCTATTCGACATTCTGTGTTATCATAGAAACTAGAACAAGTAGTAGTTATTCAGCAGCGGTGTTTTTATACAAGTTTGCAAATTGAATAAGCTGCCATAACTACAAGTCACCTGAAAATTCACTTTATCTATGGTAGCAAATGAACACATCTGTCCCCTATTTATTGCAGATATCGTAATAACGGTTATCAGATTTCCAATTATGATAACTCAAGTTTTCTCTCAGTGTGAATGTTGACTGAGCTAAATACTTAGCAATGCTGTGCTCAACTGAGAACTGACAAGACAACGCCCACAATCCTGTGCTATCACGTTTACCAGACGAAATGATATAATATAATTATGATCAAAACAAATTCATCATATGCAATAAGACACAACATATAATAAGGAAAATTACAAGACAATGGTTTTTTCACAACTAATCAAGAAAATTACCCATACATAAATGAAAAGTTATGGACCAATGATTGAATGATATTTCGGAAGTTTCCATTCGTATTTCAACATTTGGCAACTGTGCTATGGTCTGTCCCTACTCACGAAATCGTGACGTCAGATTTCATTTGTGGTGAATTTCTAGCCGTTTGAGAATTACCGTTACAATATTCATGATTTCAACATCTCAAAATCGACCAAAAAAATCTAGAAAGATACGGAATTCAAAGGAAATTGAGTACTGATTCTATTTGAGAAATTAAGAAGAAAATAGGCCACTCGCCAACTCACGAGAAATCTATACAATACTGAAGCCTTCTCTGCAATATTTTGTGCTATTTAACTGCCCACTAGAGCACTCGAACTTATACTGTTTCCTTTTCCTTTCGGTACTTGAGAGGCGTTAGGGCACTGTGGGACTGGGGATGAGGTAATTGCTTGATTACAATTCGGAAATGGTAATTAGTTTCGTGTCTTTCGACAGCTCTCGGACTATGTAATTGAGGATAATGATTTTACGAAAGTATCCACCGGAATCATTAACCTTATAAGTATGGTAAGTAATGTATATTCGATTTAGCTGCCTGTGGTGCAAACTAAACTTTTAGGGTAGTTGAGAGTTGTACGGTCAGGAGTGTACAGTTTGTGACATGCTGGAATCATTTGACTGCATAACTGAGTTGTTAGAATCAGTATTTCATTTAGATTGTATGTAATACTTGATCGTTTTTAAGTCACAACTCCAATCTTGATGTGAATAACTAAGATATCCCATGTATCATATAATTATAAATGATAATCTGACAACAAGATGTTAATCCAACAAAATCATGTTTATAATTCTTTGGGGTGCCCACTCTTCAATTGTTTCGTCAGACTTTGAAAAAATATCGAATTTTTACTCATCTTTGGACGTTTCAGAAATAAGAAATCTGCTTCCGTTCTCAACATAAAAATGCAGGATATTGTTCTTATAGTTTTCCACTTCTGATGTGGGCATATGCATGAGTCATTTTGAGGAATAAAACAAAACGAATTCAACAATATGATGAAATACAAGGTGTTACATTGGGAAATATATAATTATGAAGTATAATTATATGAGTTTGTGTCAAATCTTCAAAACCAAACCCCGATAACAACTTTTCTGGACGCCTCTGGAGTCTGCACAAAATTGTCTGTTAGACATAGTTCTCAGCGCAACGTTATTTTTTATAACTGGATATTTGAAACGGGTCCAAAAAGGATGCATTTTCAAAATTGCCCTGTATCTAATGAACGGAAACAGATATACAACATCTGATTTTTGGCCATCATGAGTTTGTCAAGAAATTAGGAATTTAAAGGAAATTGAGTACTGATTCTATTTGAGAAATTAAGAAGAAAATAGGCCACTCGCCAACTCACGAGAAATCTATACAATACTGAAGCCTTCTCTGCAATATTTCGTGCTATTTAACTGCCCACTAGAGCACTCGAACTTATACTGTTTCCTTCTCCTTTCGGTACTTGAGAGGCGTTAGGGCACTGTGGGACTGGGGATGAGGTAATTGCTTGATTACAATTCGGAAATGGTAATTAGTTTCGTGTCTTTCGACAGCTCTTGGACTATGTAATTGAGGATAATGATTTTACGAAAGTATCCACCAGAATCATTAACCTTATAAGTATGGTAAGTATTGTATATTCGATTTAGCTGCCTGCGGTGCAAATTAAACTAGTAGGGTAGTTGATAGTTGTACGGTCAGGAGTTCACAGTTTGTGACATTCTGGAATCATTTGACTGCATAACTGAGTTGTTAGAAGCAGTATTTCATTTAGATTGTATGTAATACTTGATCGTTTTTAAGTCACAACTCCAATCTTTATGTGAATAACTAAGATATCCCATGTATCATATAATTATAAATGATAATCTGACAACAAGATGTTAATCCAACAAAATCATGTTTATAATTCCTCTTGGGTGCCCACTCTTCAATTTGTTTCGTCAGACTATAACTCTCGATATAAACAATTGAATGCGAGAACGGAACGTTTAGTTCTCATATTCGATGATAGATGGCGTGAAAGATGTTGAACTAGTTGAACTAGACTTTCAAGGATTATGTGTTTTGCTTCTTTCAGGACCTGAGAAGTCCCGTTAATGATCCACGAATTCAAAAATAGCTGAATAGAAGGCTATATAGAGACAGGACGCAAACAAGACAGGGCGCAGCAAATAATCCGTGGGAAAAC